AAGGGACCATTCATTGTACTGTACTAAGGGACCATTCATTGTACTGTACTAAGGGACCATTCATTGTACTGTATTAATTAAGGGACCATTCATTGCCAGTACTGTATTGAGTATTAAGGAACCATTCATTGTACTATACTAAGTAAGGGACCATTCACTGTACTGAACTAATTAAGGGGCAATTCATTTTACTGAACTAATTAAGATACCATTCATTGTATTTTACTAAGAACATTCAACTGAGAGAAAGAGGGGTGCTTTATTTAAGGAACATAAAACAAGCGTGTTTTCTCCGTACTATGATATAAACAAGCTGGAAGCTGTAGAGCACGAGACAAACACGCTTAGGAACACAAGGCRTAGCCAAGTCGTTCTCTTGCTTTTGAAGTGCTCTGTAGCTCCTAAAGTTTTTACATCACAATACAGAGACATTAGCAGCCGTTTTATATTTGTTTTTATGAAATATTTTTCAACAACTTTGGGCAAGCATGTCTCTGTCCTCTGATACAAACTGGGTAGTCAGGCAATCAGAGCATGCTTTATATCTCAAGTATTTTATAATTTATTAATAAATTAATTTTTAATGTTAATTAATTTTTWAAAAAACACATTATCACGTCTCCTATCCAAAACAAAAAGTTATAGACCCCTGTATTATATTACATAGGTAATGAATGGTCCCATCAAATATACCTTTTTTAACACCTTGTGTTCATTTAGGGAATGTTCATAAAGTAAAGGGAGGATAAAAAAGGGGGTGGGTCACAAAATTTTGAACTTCTTAAAAGGGGTGGGSTCACTCGTCTATAAAACTGTACATTAGAGAGGGTTGGCCACACTTTTTTTAGACATGTATATGTATGTACACATGCAATCACCTGTATATTTCATTATTCATTACTGCAATTTTCATAAACATGTGAACTCTGTGTCTCTGAGTTGCACACTGAAATTTGGTTTTCGCTGTCGCTGYCAGTCAAAAATATGAAAGGTACTGACTGATTAGGTTTGATTGATGGCAGCGAAAAACCAAATTTCAGTGTGCAGGTAGCAGACACAGAGTTCGCATGTTTATGAAAATTGCAGTAAATTGATGCCTAGGATGATGGAAATTGCATTTCTGAGAAATGAGGTTGATGAAATGCTGCAATAAATTGCTGTTTTAGAAATGGGGTGTTATAACCTTACATGTAAAAATTTTGAAATCAATCATTTATTGTACTTCATACAATGTAGCTAGCAGCTCAAACTAGTTTATTTGATAGTTTTGTTTAAATTGTATTTGATCTATTTTTATAGTTTGATCTCAATATGGAATGAATAGATATTTTCTCTATTTATGAGACTAAACTTATGGATTAAAGTGCCTCCCACTACAATGAAATTTAAATGTCTCAATTTTTTACTATTTAAACACATGTTAAAATACTTTACAAAAGAAGAAAATTGGTGTTTTTCATTTCTTGTTAGCATTTTTGGGTCAAGAGATATTCAACTTTTAAGTTATRCTAAGTAGGAGGATGATGACATAAACTCAACTCAAATTTTCCTTCAACATAGACCTTAGATTTCAGTAAATCTCTGAGTGTTTGATGAATGCCATTCAAACTTTGCAATATACTTGTATTCAAAATATGAAACATGAAAATGCACAAACTGTGGTTGCTATGGCAACTCACTGGTTTCCAGGYGCCTAAAAGCGGTTTTAGCCTTTCAGCGAATGCTTTGTTATTTTTCAACTTGAGCAAAAATTTGTTGACTTAATGTTGTGTCTATGACCATAACAGATATTTTAACCTTAGCCTTATTCGACATCATCTCTTGTAAAGGTAGAAATTTCAAAAACCTGAATTTTAGGTTGGGGTGGCCTGGAAATGAGGCTGTTGCTATGGCAACTTATTTTATATAGTTAATTTTGAAGAACCTAGAGATCATAGAAACAAGAATTATGCCATGATGTCACGTAAAAAATGCAAAATTCGTAATTCAGAAGTGTTTCAAGAATTCTTCATAAAATATATGAAAATAAGTTAAGGATTCCTTAAATAACTGTTTTTTGTACATAATTCTGGAAATAAATACACATATCTTTTGAAACGAATATCTTTTGAAACACATATCTTTTGAAGTGAAATTTCACTTCACTATCAAGGGTATTTCATGATCCAGACAAAAAAAAGCAAGTCAGAATTTTGATCGTAGTGGCACTTTAAATATAGAAGGAATGCGTTGTACCACTTATTTTAATACAGTRCATGTCCAAACATATTGACTTAGATTACATGATGTGGAAAAAATAGCTGAATTTCCTTGATATCCCAATTCGACCGAAGTCAGAGTAACAAACGTATATCTTTTACTGTTTATATGTTCTACAAGAAGGATTAAAGATACCGTATTACACTGTAACTTCAACCTTTCCAACGTCTATAAAACGATCAATGGTACAGATAAACAAATACATGAACAGTCATCTAGAACCACCGGGCCTAACGTCATATCCTCGAGTTTGGAGAGATTTAGTTTTGGGAAATAATAACGTCTTCTGAAGATTCACTTAGGGATATTTAATACGCTGAAACAATTCGAATGACTTCAGTTTCAGTTTTGTTAAAGCTTGGCCTAAAAAAGTGACAGTGAATGTCAATAACCTCAGAAGTAGTAGAACTTTTAAAATAGCGACACACTAACTTTCAGTTTAATCACTGCATTCTTCTCGTGCCGAAGCCCATGGATTATTTGTTGAATATTTTTAAGTGAGTTAGCCTTGGCTTTATACTTTTACTAACCTTGAACACGGAGAAACATCAGGGCCAAGCTAGAAACAAGAGACAAGGTAACAAGAACAGTCATTGTAACAATTCCAAAGATAGAACCAGGGTTAGAGGTTATTGTTTGAATTTTTCGAAGTCACGTGTCATTGACCGTGCAAAGCATTTTTTCAAGACGGCGTCCGCTGTGACATAAAGTTGCCTTTCTTGCTATTTTTCGAAGCGTTTTTTATGATCAAATCAGTTATAAATCGTTTAAAAATATATCAAAGTACCTCATTAACAATGCCCGGTGATAACTGTTCTGTTGTTGGATGCGGAACGTGCCGGAATTCAAAAGGAATAAGCATCTGGAAGCTACCTGCACCAAGAAATGATGAATACGAGAAATGGAGACTCGACTGGCTGAATGAACTCACAAAGTATCGAGAAGTCGATAAACACTTCCAAAAATTGATTGACAACGATAGAGTTTACACATGTGAGAAGCATTTCGGTCCCGAACACATAGAACATTGTAAGTAATGAGCTGTTTTGATAAGTTTTAGTGTAGTAGTAACAGAACAAGCCGATAACAACGATTATTATACATTTTACTAAGTATCTCAAATCTGATTGGTCGAGAGCCCTCAGCCAATCCCTGATATTGTGTGAACTCCACATGATAAATGTATTATCTGTAGGTTTTCCTACAGATAATACATTTATCATGTCAAATTCATTCAAGGTCACGCTGTGGTAGCTTTGTTTTTATTCATTATGTGTATTTATTTCCAGAATTATGTACAAAACAATTATTTAAGGAATCCTTAACTTATTTTCATATATTTTATGAAGAATTCTTAAAATATTTCTACATTAAAAATTTTGCGTTTTTCATACTACATCATGGCGTTCATAATTCTTGTCTCTATAATTTATAGTCTCCCTCGCATGTGGGAGACTACATAATTTAATGTTCTTGTTAATGTTTTTCCAGTATACAAAATGTATAATAAAGCAATTATTGAATTCGGTATCGCATAATATCGTAAATATCAAGACCTTGGCTGTGTTATCTGCCTCAGCCTTCGGCTTCGGCAGATAACACAGCCTCGGTCTTGATAATTTACAATATCATGCTCAACTTCATCCAATAATTGCTTAAAAGCTACAAGCTCTCGTTTACTCTTACCCGTTAAATTTTTGTCATTCATCCTTTCTTTTCTTATCTTTTTCCAGTTCAATCCGAGAAGATGACAAAGAAAAAGCCAAAATTTGGGGCTCTTCCAACCTTAAATATGCCACGAAAAAGCGTAAACACCACGAAGACTGTACCTAGGCAACCCAGGTCAATCGTCAAAGACCACGAGGAAGACTCAAAGAAAAGAAATGTATATAACCACTTCAGTGAACTTTGTAAACGAGTGCAGTCTCTCAAAACTTTGGCCAAATGGAAATTAAACGTTCTGGAAGACAGATTAGACTGAAAAAGATCAAAGAATCTTTGTTACTTCCAGAACTCGAAATAGTAATCGACGACAGCCTTGGGTTTACTAGGGACTATTTATTGTATTGTCTTTGTTACTTCCAGAACTCGAAATAGTAATCGACGACAGCCTTGGGTTTACTATAAGTGTATATGGTTTTTACCTACCTGACGATCACGAACTTTATRTGAAATACCTGAGGTCTKTCATCAATATCACCGTGTCAGATCTAGTCAAGGACATAGAAACTCATGTAATTTGTCGAGGAGTAAATCCTGCAATCACAGCAGATGTGGTACATCATCTTATCCCAAAATCAGTAGATCACTTGAGAAATGAAGGCACAGTTCATTCATTCCCACACGAAGAATATTGGCGTGTTAAAGAATGTGAAATTCTGTGTAATGACTACCAGCAGTGTTTGTCTTGCAGTAAATTTGTGCAGGCAGAGGATAAAAAAACAATGGTAAAGAAGAAAAGGCTACAGGAACCTGCTCATATCAATTCTCCAGTTTCTCAAACACCACCAGAGAGACTGAAACTGACACTTCAAATGCAACGAATAAAGTGCAGTGAGCTTGAACAACAGCTGAAATTAATGAAAGAGGAAATCAATAAATCCAGTGTTGAGATTGATCATGAACTAAGTAAAGACTTTATCAGCATTATTGGTAAAACTGAGCATGAAATAATGCCATTCATGAACTTGTTTTGGCAGCAGCAACAAAAAATGGTTGCAGGTAATTCAATGGGAGTGCGATATCACCCCATGATAATTCGCTACTGTTTATCACTGGCTGCTAAGTCACCCTCTTGCTATGAGGAAATGAGGAATAGCGGTATCCTCGTGCTGCCAAGTCAGAGAACCCTAAGAGACTACAGGAACCACATCAGACYCCAAAGAGGATTTCAGGAAAGCGTTATAGGAGAGCTAAAGAATATTACAGACRTATACTTCGACGTACRAAGATATGTTGTACTACTTTTTGACGAGATGAAGATCCTGTCAAATCTCGTTTTTGACAAGGTCACAGGAGAACTGATCGGCTATGTTGACTTAGGTGACCCTGATATTAACTTTGCTACTCTTGATAAAGCTGATGAGATTGCAACTCATGCTTTAGTATTCCTAATCAGAGGTGTTTGCACTCAGTTAAAGTTCAGCCTGGCCTACTTCTCAACAAATGGAGTCACTTCAGTCCAGCTGATRCCTATCTTTTGGGAAGCTGTCTGTATTCTCGAATCAAGCTGTAACCTGTGGGTCATTGCAGCCACGTCAGATGGAGCATCGCCTAATCGCAGTTTCTATAGAATGCACAAGGGCCTTGATGGAGATGCAGGAAAAGAAGTGTGCTACCGCACAATTAATCTCTATGCCCCACATAGATATATCTACTTCTTCTCAGATGCACCRCATCTGATCAAGACCACACGAAATTGCCTRTACCATTCTGGATCAGGATCATGTACCAGGTATGTTTGATTGAAATAAAAAGACAGTAACCAGTAACATATTGATATTGATTTATCAACATATTGCTTTGTTCTTGCTATTATCCTGCTACTGTAAATCCATGACAGCCTCCAGATKTGAACTAAAAAAGTATTAATTATTATTATTCATTATTTATTTATTTATTCTTCATTTCTTTGTTTATTTATCTATTCATTTGCTAACATGTATCTAGATATTTATCATTCATTAATGCGATATATTTACACATTTCTATAATTTATGCATACATTGTAGGTTTTATGATTCTATTTCCAAGCTATTAATGGATGGATGGATGGATTGATTTTGTAATTCCTTTCAATTTTCACTATATAAGGAAATTATTATTATGAATTATCAGAGCTCCACTATTAGGTAATACCTAGTTTTTATATTATTATTATCATTGTTACTAAAGGATCTTTAGTAATTATATTAATAGATGAAAAGTAATGATAGTTTTTCGTTTCTAGGTACATGTGGAATGATGGGCACTACTTGTTATGGCAGCACATAGTCCAGCTATACCATCAGGATGTGGAAAGTGGCCTGAAGCTTGTACCGAGAATTACATTTGAGCATATCAAACTCAATTCATACTCTACCATGCGTGTCAATTTGGCAGCTCAGGTATTGAGTGCATCTGTGGCAGCTGTTCTGAAGTCATTTGGAACCCCTGATACAGCAGGAACTGCAAAGCTATGTGAAATGGTTGACTCATTTTTTGATTGCTTGAATGTACGGAGTACACATGAACATGAAAGGAAGAGGAAACCATTTTTAGCTCCTTTCACTTCTACTGAAGATCCAAGATTTACCTGGCTGGCTGGAGAATTTCTCACATACCTCAAGGAGTGGAAGCAGAGTACACTCAATAGACCTGGTAACTTCACCATGAATGCCAGAAATCGAATGTTTCTGTCATGGCAGACCTACGAGGGGTTTCAAATAACTACCCACTCAGTTATTGAAGCARCCAAGTTCCTGCTACATGAAGGTATGGAGTATGTATTAACAGAGAGATTCTGCCAAGATCCCATCGAGGAGTACTTTGGCAATCAAAGAAAAATTGGCAGAAGAAGTGACAACCCAGATCTTAAGATGTTTGGCTATAATGACAACAACATTCRTATCCAAAGAAGTGTTTCATGTCAGTCTGGGAATACGCGAGGAAGAAAAGACAAGAAGAAAGCATGGGTAGAAGTTACCGATGAACCATTACCAAAACAGAAAAAGAGGGAATAGAGACTACTGGTAGYACAATTGAAGGGAATCTTACAAAAATGGCTTAGCCTTCAATAATTTAATGTTGTAGTTAGTGGTTCTCAGAAACCTGTGAAACACAGTGTAATAACTAAGGTGTGAAAAGTGTGATACATTGAAAACAAAAAAAAGAAAATGTAGACAGTAAAGTGTATTACAAGGGTATTGTGCTAAGTGTATTACGATAAAGTTTATTTTACAGGCTTTTGAAAACCACTCTATAATTAACTGTTCTGAAAGTTAAATTTATAGTGTGATGATGCTTGAGATGTCATAAAAGCTTTACTGAATTTCAATAAACAATATTTTATTAGAACTTAGAATAACAACATTCATATTATGAAACTAATGGTTGGGCCTATCTCAGATACTGGCCATGAGCCATATTCCAAAAGATAATATTATTTATTTGTTATGATTTGTTACCACTACATAMATGGTAAATGAGAATGAAGCATGGTGGTTGAAATGTCTGAACTAGGTTCACAAATGTAAATATAACAACAGWAGAAAACGTTCTGTTAAAAAACTGCTAGTGAAGTACAATAAATAACATTAACATTTCAATAATTTTAGTATTCACTACAATCCATAATACAGTAGTAATTTGTTTTGTTGCGAAAAACGATCAAAGAAAAACCCTCCATATTATGAAATCAATAAAATTTTGGTAACATACTCCATTGCTATCAATTTTCTTTTTGCTCGATAGATGCAGGGAAAGAATCAAGATTCTAATTCTGTCTAGGCTCATAGTCTTTGGTTGCCCTGCTGATCTGTTTTCGAAGTGCCTTATCCTTCACTAGTTTTGTCTGCAATTTATACTTCTGAACAGCATCTTTAGCAAACGAAAATGATCGAACTCTAATGTACAAGTGAATTACATTCTGTAGCACATCCTTGGCTATCTTATCATCTAGTTGAGTTCTGAGTTTGCCTTCATGCAGTTAAAAGCTGTTAGCACTTCACTATCACTAGATGATTTGGACCTTATTTCACTAATGTCAATCCTTGTTAAAGGATAGTCAGATGTAAAGAATCTGAAGTATTTTTCAGTCCTAGTAAATATTGTTTGTGCTGGTTTTGTGATGCCCCACAGTCCTCCACGGTTAAGYGATGAGGTAAGCTTATGATTTTCTGTCATGATCTGCTGTTTCTCTTTGCCAGCTTTCAGTATAGCAATTGACTGCTGGCTAGCAATAGATTCACGCAATTTTGATTTGCTGTGTTTGTCGTGTAGCTTGTGCAGGACATACCCTCCAACATACTGCAATCCAGCCATTTCTTTATCAGTTAGTTCAATCTTAAAGTTCTTGACAGTGGTAACAGATTTGTCTWTACTGTARGCTAACATGASATCAGCTAATTTAGTAGATAGAAGTGTGGCAGCATTTCTAGACAATCCAGTGAAATATCTTGTTGAATTCAATGGCACTGTGGAATAGAACATTGTATAGAAATTCTCTTGGTTTTTATTTTTCATCAATTGTTGATAAATCTTTTGTAATTCAGCGAATTCCGCCGACTCTTCTGCTATGATTGTGACCTTCCAAGCGCTAAGCTCATCTATAATACTCTTTGAGAAGACCTTGTTGTTGATTAAACGGTGTTTGACTTCGTCGACCATCTTTGCAAGTATTTCTGCAGTAAATTTGAATTGTTCACCTTCATCAGTCTTTGTTTCATTATCTTCTAGATCATCTTGATGATTACAAGACATATGTCTTTTCAAACCACTCAAACTTTTGCATTTCTTTGAGCAGAATCTACACAAGATGTCTTCCTTTTGAAGCTACACAACGAAATAGCTTCGTTAGTTATACTGATATCACAGCGTCAGCACCCCATTCATTAAATATATTAAGAGTTTATAGAACACCAGTTTGTTTAGGTCGTTTACAATTTGCAACTGGTATATTTTTCACAACTTTGATTGGTAAAGGTATACAAAAATTTGAGTTTTCCGCGGTACCTAGCTAGTTTGTAGCTAGTGCTCGTTGATCGATTCGACCACAAAATTCAGTAAACTTTGCTGGATAATACGAAGAATCGTGGATTCTTTTGACTCACCTCAGTCACGGCTTCATCGAAGTATTCATGAACATTGTCATCGGCCTCCAAAGCTTCAAGAATTGCTTCCAAATCATCTCCAAACAGAAAAAGATCGTTGTCTTACGCCATATTGTTTTGGAATGCTGCTCGAGTGATTGCACGGTCATTGACACGTGACCGCCTGTCTCGACCTCAAAAGCTAAACAATAGGCCGGCCCTTTGAAGTGTGCCGGCCTTCCTAACCATTCCCCTCTATTAACTATGTCTTAACTTGGATGCATACTTCATCCCTGATGAAGTCATCCTCATAGTATTCGAGTGGTCTTTATATAAAGACACATGTGTCTTTATATAAAATCACTTGAATACTAATGAAGAGGACTTTATCGGGTATAAAGGTTCATGCACGTGACGTGTATGGTGGCTCCAATTGGTGAGTGTTTTAAAGGTTTTTGAAAGCACAAAACGGAAGCGATAGCTGCTCCATCGTACGTTCTACGATAAGTTTTAGCTTTTGCAGCAATTAGCTTTTTAAGTTTGCATTCATTTATACAAAACATATTGAATGTCTCTTCTCATGATCATGAATATTTAATGAGTAGAAAACAAAGCAAATCACTACTGTGACGGTGGTTTGGAAATGTGTTCTTAATTTGCATTAAATTTCGTAAACTTTTTCTTTGATTTTCTCCAAGAAATATTCATGAGTTTGAGAAGTAATATCAAACACTTGAGAGAGTTCTTCCTCCGATTTCCAAACACCTCAAAGTCAGGCGGCGCTTCGTTTTTTCAACTCACTTTTCGGTGTTTGGAAATCGGAGGAAGAACTCTCTCGCTTGTTTGAAATATTACTTCATACCTCATTTATTACGGACAAAAATACGAAAACAAAGATATAACCACAAAGTTTCTTTGAGTCCTTGCTTTTCAAAATATGCTGTTTACCGTTACTAGTTTTAATAGCTTCGATTTTAAAATAATCCAATGTAAAATCATTAAATCATAATTATTTGACGTAATAAAATTCACACTTACCTGTTGTATTTATAATATCTTGAAGACAGTGCATCGCAAAGAATTGCCCATCAACTCTGGTCATTTCCAAATGAGGGATATTATGTGAAGAGTGGGGAAGCATTTTTTTAAAGAAACACTGTAATATCTTCATACTATTAAAAGCATTTGAAAAAAAGTTGGAAAAAACGATTAAAGATATTTTTAAAGCAAAATTCGCGGGCATTATCTCCAAATTAGGTACCAGTCTCCACTCGGACAGCTTCTCGAACCAGTAACAAAATATATGCCGAGGTCGTGAGCAAATATGTCCGTTTTAAAGCGAGATCTGGAGACGAAATTATGGATATTGAGCAATATAGAGGCCAGGTTTCTATGACTATACGAATGGCGGTAGAAGGACGATTTCTTATATCAAAAAAAGCACTGGAAAGTCGTCATTTTGGACCATCGCCAACTATTCCGGCCATGCGCCGCTCGGCAAGTCAGCGGATATCATGTATAAAATAGAAACCACAGGAAGCCCAAGCTCTCTCAGGCCCGGACTTAGAGAAACAAAACTTTTTGCTACGGCATTCCTGTGCTTTAATAGGTATCCTAATACAAATGATGGCAAACGAGAGCGGAGGATTCAAGCTTTATTTTGGTACCAAACATGCCGTATTTTGCGAAAAATTTTCAAGGTTTTTACTTCACAAAGTGCCTATTCTTGAAGAAAGGATCTCTCAAATACTCGTCTCAAATCGGAGCTTTTTGAAAGTGAAAAACGAAAAGTATAAGTTCGTTCAATCGACCACAGATTCGACATCAGTAATTTAGAATGTGTGTATTTTAAGGATCGAC